GATCCTCTTCATGAAACCGGGTTGGAGCCCGACGTGACCTCACTGGTTTACTGTCAGAGTTCCCCAGCTACCTGTGGAGACCCGGAGTTGGGGCCCAGGCTGTCTGTCTCCCTTTCTTGAGTGTAGAGGTTTGGAGTAAGCAGGTGAATGCGAGTTCTTGGCCTGAACAAAATCGAGTCAGTCAGTCTGCGGTGGCTGAAACAGCTGTCTGCGTATCCCGACCACATCTAAACCAGGTTTTGAATGTAAATGTTTGGTCTTGTCTCGGGCTCGGCTCCCTTCCATTTGTGCAGGTTAGAGCATTCTGTCTGTCTAGCCCTTCCATCCTGGTCGGGTCAAGCAGATGTTCATGCAGGTCCCAACCTCACATACCATGCTGTTGTGCAGAAGGCTGGCCGGGCACTGGTCTGCACAGGCCTGGGTGTGGACGGTTCCTGGCATGGGCATTAACTCTGTTACCCTGAGCACCCCACTTCATGTTTCTGGCCCTCTACTTCCCCATTGTGCAGTTGGGGTACACACATGTAGTTCTTGGACCATTTGTTATCTCTGCAAACCTCAGTTGTCTCATCTAAAAAATAGGTATAATGATACCACTTCATAGTGTTATAAAGATGGAATAAACTAGAGCTCAGCACCATGTCTAGCAGCACAGCTGGCATGTTCCACCTTCCGCCCCTTCCTCCTCCTCTCCATCTTTTCAAAGCACTTAGAGAGCCTCGAAAATGTGATGTGCAGGTTAAGAGATAAAGTCAAGGATGCCGCGATCTGAGCACCTGTCCGTGGTGGCACAGTGTGTGGAGGGTGAGTGTGGGGAGCAAGCTAGCCTTTGTGACCCAGAGTGAAAGCTTTGCAAATGACTCCTTTCTGAGAAAGGTCCTTTCCTGACCATCTTAAGGGTGCCGTCGAGGGTGACTCATTCTAGCCTTTTGTTGATAGTGCTCGTCCACACGCATTACTTTTGTTTTCAAGTTGACTGTCACACTGAGTTGGTGGTTGGTGGGCTGCCTGCCACCCTAGGTGTGGACTGCAAAACGTGGGCCAACGAAGCCGGCAGTCTGCAGGGCTGTGCTGATGTGGGGGGAGGAGAGCACAGGGTCAGTATGGAAGGTGAGGTGTCATTAACTGCAGGCCGAGATTTCTTCACATAGGCGGGTCCCTCCCCAAAGACTATTACATAATCAGAGCTGAGAGCGTTGAGTCCAGAGTTTTTTAGTGTACTTGGAATGTAGAGAGTGTTTATGGTGAAAATTCATAAGCTTTGACAATTCTGGGGCTGATCGTTTTAGGCAGTGAAGTCAGTGTTTTCCTCAACTGCATCCTCGTTTTCTTGAGGACGTTGATTATGTGTTCTGCCCCCTTACAGAGCTTCCCGTTTGTAAACTGTATCTCTAGGTTGGGCAACATAACTACAATTTGAGAATACCGCAAGGCTAGTCTGTTACTCTGCAGATAACCTTACGGTAAATTTGCATGAAGGCATTGCTTTAGAACAGTTTTCTTTGATCCATGATTGCAAAGCAAAATAGCAATTTCCTTTCTGAGGCAAGAGGTTTGGGAGGAGGGCTAAATTTGCACGTGATCTCCCTGACAGCCCAGCCAAGCTGAGGAAGGGGAGTGGACCTTCCAGGTTTTTGCGTTAAGGTTATTTTATTTTGGGGACCCACCAAAATTCCTTAAAAATGATCTGCAGGGCCTAGGGTTCTTCACTCGCCAGCCATCAGCTTGACAGTAAGTGGCACTCAGCCCTTCCTCCCTTCCTCCTTCCCTGGTGTGGACGTGTCGCAGTTATGCTCACGCCAGGTCCATCCCGTTTCCACTGTAAAGAAAGGCCTTCGTGAACGGAATAAGCCAGTGGTCCAAACTTCGGTGTGCAGCAGACTCACCTAGAAGGCTTGTTAGAACACCTTGCCGGCGCCGCCCTCCGAGTTTGTGGGTCAGGAGGCTGGGTGGGCCCGAGAACTTGCGTTTCTAGCAAGTACCCAGGTGCTGCTGGCGCTGCTGGCCCCGGCACCACCGCCACGCTCTGAGGGCCTCAGAAATAAGCAAAGCCAAGTTCACGAGAGCTCCTGCCAGCTGTGACCCAGTCCCTGCACGAGGCTCGTGATCACGTAGGAGGCTCGCCTCTTACAGCCAAGAAACAGCAAACAGCTGCATGTTTTAAATTTACAAAAAGAAAGAAAGAAACAAGATATAGCACAGATTCGGTGGGAGAGGCCACTTCTCTCATCCTGAGCCTCATTTTGAGGCTCTGTCCACCTGTGGCTGTCACTGATGACCTGTGCGTTTGTTTCCATTCCCCTTGCGATTTTGGCAGAACTCACACATCTGCACCTGTGCCTGTACTTTTTTTTTAAAGTTTTTTATTCTGGTACAAAGGCACAGGGGGAGCACAAGCCCCCTTGTACTGAGCATCCAGCCTTCATTCAGGTGTTCCCATGTGGCCCCCCCCATTTCCTGGGCTCCCAGCAGGTCCCTGTCTGCCCCCCCGGGCTCTTCCGCCAGTCTCAGGAGTATCATTCTCCCGGGAGGGGTGCAGTGTGCATCTCCGAAAGACGGGCTCTTTAAGAAAACAACCACAATACTATTATCACACTTAAACCTTAATTTCTTACTATCGTTAAATATTCAGCGTCCACATTTCCTCGGAGTCTCGAAGTTCGGTTTGTTCAAGGAGGCACGCAAACGAGAGCCGTACAGCCGTTTCGTTGGATAGGTCTGGGCTTCCCTTCCCCCTGCCTTTTTTTTTTTTTTTTTTTTCCATAATAATTTATTTGTTAAAGTTTGTCCTGTAGAGTTTCCCACATTCTTTGCAGGGATTTGGCTGATGGCATCCCTGAGATGCTTTTACCGTGTTCCCCTGCCCCTAGATTTTCTGACTCAACAGATCTAGACACTTGCGCAGATTAATTCAAGTTTGTTTCTTGGGGGGTGATGGCAGAAGCACTGCATGGGTGGTGCTGACTTGCACCATGAGGCTGTAACGCCTGGCGTGTCCACTCTCATCCTCTGTGATGCTGAGAGTGACCAGTCGGTTCAGGTGCCATCAGCCAGGCTTTTGTCTGCGGTGTCTTCGGCACAGCAGCTTTTGGGGGGACAAAATCCAGGGGAGCGCGAGGTGCCGTCTGATGCCGCCGCTCGCGGTGAGTGCGCGAGGGCTGTCCCCATCCCGCCGCAAGAGTGTTGCTGTCTCTGCTGTTCTGTTGAATTCACAGTCTTTTTTCCCCTCAGCAGTCCCTGCCTGCGATAGCTGCTTCCTTTGAGTGACTCTCAGGTCATTTCAGGTGCCGTGGTCCAGTGCTGCAAACCGTGTATTGCTATGACCCGTGTGCCCAAACAGTGCTTTGGAGTAGACAGTGGGATGTAGCAGAAACCGGGAACTTAGCTATTGAGTAGGGGCTGATGTCATGCACACACATGCGCACACGGGTTAGGCACTATTCCATTGTGTGGCTGACAAGACCAACCAGTTAAATGTCTTGATGTTTTCTGAAATACAGGGTAAAAACAGATCTGTTTCATCCAGACCGAAGGCAGAAGACCAAGGCATATGTCTGTGCAGAATCTGAGCTAGATGTTGATGTGCAAATGTCACGTTGTACTAGAGAGGATGCCATTGTTTGTACAATATAAGAAAGCGTGATTCTTCTGGGAAGGAGCTCTAAAGACCTGGGCCCTGAGAGAGAAGGTGACTTCCTCAAGGTCACTCGTTGAATTAATGTGCCGTGCAGTACGATGGCAACACTGGGCTGACCCAGAAGGTGTCTTTAGTAATTAACACCTGTTCATTCTTGCCAAAGAAGAGGCACCTCCTTTTCCCCAGGGACTGAGACTTACTCAGAGCTCCGGAAGCCTAGCAGCAGAGGTTGGCCTCTTGAAGCCACTGAACCCTACCTGTGCCATCCCAAGGGTAAGCCATTTTGGCAAGGGAGCTCCAGTGATGTTGGCATCCCAGAACATTTAAAAACAGAAAAATAAACATTCCCAGTCCCTGAAAGCATGGAAAAAGAAGTCGGCGTATCTCTGTTCGTCAGCTCAAGGTCATTGGCAGGGTCAGATGCCGTGATACTGTTCCCCTGGTCCCCCATGGCCGGAAAGAGCTGGCGAGACAGGGTGACAAAGAGCGTGGACTCGGCCCTGGCCAGTTTGGCTCAGCGGTTAGAGCGTCGGCCTGCAGTCCACAGAGACCCAGGTTCGGTTCCCGCTAAGGGCATGTACCTCAGTTGCAGTTTGTCCCCGGCCCTGGTTGGGTCGTGTGAGTGGCGGCCACTCGATGTGTCCCTTTCACATCGATGTTTCTCTCTCTTCCTCTCTCTCCTTCCCGCTCTATCTGAGTAAAAAATGGAAAAATGTCCTCGGGTGAGGATAAAAAAAAAAAAAAAAAAGAGCGTGGACTCGGAGTCAGCGGTCTGGACTCTGTCTCAGCTTTGCTTCTGCTCCTCTTGGCCAGACCTTCGTCTCTTATGTAAAACTAGTAGATTGTGCCTGGCCAGTGTGGCTCAGTGTGAGCATCGTCCCATGGACTGAGAGGTCCCGGTTCAGTTCCCGGTCAGGGCACATGCCCGGATTGCTGGCTCCATCCCCAGTCGGGGGCGTGCAGGAGGCGGCTGATCCATGTTGCTCTCTCACATCCATGTTTCTTTCTCCCTCTAAAAAAATCAATAAAATCATATTTAATAAATAAAAATCTAGTGGATTGGACCAAAGTTCTGTGAGCTCCTATTTGACCTCTGAAATAGCTTTCTCATGTGGGGAGTAAGGAGCTGGGACTGGCCGATTCTCGCTAACATTCTGACCTCTGTGTATTTCACACACGTGTGCACACACACCCAGAAACTAGGTGAAAGTGTTGGTAATCCACGTGTTCATAGCTCATGCTTCCCCTTTGTGAACTCTGCTTTGGCTCCGGGTTTCCTTGTAACTGGTGCTCAGTTTAGAAGAAATGAAAACTGCGAAAATGGCTGTGAGCTAGAATATTTGTGTTTATTGTGATTTTTCAGTAAGAGTGTGAGAAATAATTTTGCAAACCGCGAGGAAGGGATGACGCATCCTTTGCGACTGGAGGAGGCCCAGTACCTAAGTTCTCCCCTTCCTGACTGTTGGGCTCAACTGTGAAATAGGACAAAGACACGAGGCAAGTGCAAGCTAAATAGACCGGCGTTATCACTGCTAATGGGTGTAGTGTGTGGCCTGGCTCCTGGCTGTGGGCAGGTGCACGTCCTAACTGAGCTCCAGGATTGGAAGCTCATTGCAACGCTGGAGAAGCAGAACAAGGTGAGCAGCTCACTCCCCAGAGGGAGGTGGGAGGGGATGACGGAGGTGCGAGCGGATGACTGGCTCTGCCTGCTCCCTTCCCTCCCCAAGGACGGAGCGAGTGCAGGAGCTGGAGGGGAGAGCGGGTTTCCACCAGGGTGGCGCCCTTGCGTGGAGGGAGACATCTGGCCAGAGTAGGGACACAATTCACGTAGAGGGATGTGGCAAGCACTCTTCCTGCGATCTTCCTTCATAGCCTGGCAGATACGTGGTCCCCAACCTATGGGAAAATCTGTTTTCCTGGCGCAGTGATTTTAAGCCCCTGGGCAGGAAGGTGTTAATGAGGCTGCCTACCCTGAAGCAACCGCTGCTTCTCCTTGGGCACTTTCTTTGCGGAGGCCTCCGTGCTAACGAGCATTTTGTACTAGCGCGTGCCCACTGAATGCTCGCTGCACGCGTCAGTGGGTGCCGTGGTACCCCAGTCTGTGGATGAGGAAACTGAGGCTTAGCGAGGTGAAGCAGATGTCCACACGGCTCGTGTAAATTAGGAAAGTCACACCGTCTTATTCCCCTCTGGCTCCTTGGTACGTGCTTGTGTTGTCCTGCGCCTCAAGTTCGGTGCCACTTGGGTCCAGGACGGCAGCTGCAGTGCCACCGTGGTGACGGCAAAACTCCAGCACCGCGGGAGAACGGGCCGTCCGAAGAGGGTCTCAGTGACCAGTAGAGTCATCCTTGCTCCTGAGCAACCGTGCTTCGGGCAGGCTGTGAGATGGAGACCCGGGTACAGATGTACAGACTGATGCCTGCTTCCGCTGCTGCCAGCCTGTCGGGTGCCAGGACCCGTGCCGGGTGCTTTACACGTGCTGGTCTCTCTGAGACATCAGTATATTTCAAAGGGACTGCTGACAAGGCCCCACTGCTCCGCCTTAAGCCTTCAAGCCACGTACACACAGGACCTCTTGGACCAAAACACCGCTCAGTGTGACTGACGAGGCCGCTGTGTCTTCATCCTGGAAGGGCTCCCGACGCAGGGGATGCTCGCCTCTCAGAGAGGCCGGGGCTTGAGCGCGGGGCAGTGCAGGGTTCTCCCTCCCTGCACCTCCGCAGGACGAATTCTGTTCAAGTATGTTAGTGGGAGGTTTGTTCTGGGCTTGCAGTGCCCAAGCCCCTTTCAAGGGCAGTCATGTCCAAGGCCAGAGGCTCGGCACAGGGACCCTGCAGGGTGGTGGCCCAGGCCTCGGGGCAGGTCACTTCCTTCTTCACTGTGGGTGGCGGTCCTGTAGAATTTGATAAGGTGAATGGGCAAGAACACACCTGCACCTACCTGTTCCAGACTGAGTTTGGATCTCCTCATTCAGAGAGTACAGTTCATAGCAAATCCTTATGGGTCACATGGAAATTACCATTGTTGTAAAACTTGGCCATTGTTAGCTAGAGTGGTGTGTGTGTGTGTGTTTTAATTTGAAAGTGGAATTTCAATGATCTAACTTGGCTTATGAGCACTTGCTTTTTGTAGCTGTAGGTTGCCTATAATACTATGTATTCTTATTTTGCCCTTTTTAAATAGTGGTTTAACAAATTTTTAAAAGACAAATGCATTCAAAAAAGGTGGGGAAGAGAGAGCACAGTGTCAGTAGAGATTGTCTCTGGGTGATAGAATCGGCTATTTCTATTTTAGTCTTCTGTACTTTCAGAAATTTCCATCTATGTGGACTATTATTTTTAATTTTACAAAATATGGCCTTGGGGGAAAACTCGCAAGTAGAGGGAACTAGGGGAGCGTGGCAAGGTCAGCCCGATTCGCCTGCTCAGGGCACACACTGCAGGCGAACGTGCTGGTCCCAGCCTGCGGCACGTGCCGGCCCGTCCGCCTCGTCACTGCCTTCACAGAGCCGCTGCCCGCCCCCAGTGGGAGACCTGCCCAGCCCCACCCGCCCCCTTCACAAGGGACCCCGACAGGAGCCTCCCCAAGGAAACACGATCCCCCGATGGCGGGCTTTTCTCCCGGACCAGCCCAGTGTGTTCTCTGGGAAAGGGGGACCTATGCACGGACCTACGCAGGGCCTGCAGCCTGTTTATTTAGTGGAGCCCAGATGCGTGGGGAACGGGGCCGTGTCTGCACCGAGCCCGTTAGGAAAAGGTTCTGTGCGTGTGGGCAGAGTTTATACAGATTATTTGTTTGTTTCCTTTCACAGGCCTGAAGCAGCCCTGTTCCCTCACCTGTTCCAGGAAGTTGTCAGAGACTTTTTTTTTTTACTAAGAAGTATGTGATTTGGTGATGGAATCTATAAATAAAGTGACCCATTTTTAACTAGAGTGTGGGTGTGCAGGACCTTGTGGTTTAGCTAATGAAATCTCCCAGAGGTGATCCTCTGAACCCCGTCTCGTTCTATCACCACGGCTGCTTTTATGACTTAATTGCCTTTGTGGTTTAATTCACTTCATGACACATCCATCACCGGGAAGTTTCCGCTGCTCACGCCTGTCTGTCCTCGTGTTTGCTTGATGACTCTGGGGTCAAGGAGAGGCTGCGAGGTGGTTTTCATGCTATTAAAAATAAGTGGTTGTTTGGTACAGGCAAATCTGTCTTGTTTAATTAAAACAGCCCTTGTAATTTTCTTTAGTGCTTTGAATCTATTTCCTTCTGATACTTCTCTGTGCCAAAACGCGGTCAGCTGGTCCTATGATAATTTACTTCTTTCATCGGTAGAGAGGGGAGTTTGTAAAAGCTTTTTATATTCTATCAGTTAATCACTCCCACATTTCCCTCCCCCAAACCCCACTGTGGCAGATATCATTATCCTCATTTTGCAGATGAGGAAACTGAGGTAAAGAAATTGTAGGGAGCACATGCCGGGTCATTCTCAGTAGACGGCAGACCCGTCCCACGATACAGACTGGACAGTGGGGCCTCACCGTTCGGAAAAGAGCTTCTGCTTCGTTGCCGTCTGGTGGTGTTGGGATGGCCCTCGTGCTAACATCTTACGCACGTGTCTGAGTCCCATGCGGAGTTCCGGATTTTGAGATTTCCGGCGAAACCCGGGAAGTTGGCTTGGGCACGTCTTCCACTTGTGTGGTGTGGCCGTGAGTTCGTGGGGCAGTGTAGCCTGTGGTTCACTGACGATAGAAGTCGAGCTTGGGAGGAACCAAAATCTGTGTCCCGTGCTTCCTTGCAATTCTTGCTTTGAGCTTTTCTGTTTTCCCCACACAGGAATGAGAAGGCAGGACTTTCCAGATGGGTCTCAGCGTGCACCTTCCTGCCTGCACCCCACAGCCTTTGCTGGCTCCTCGGCGCTTGCGAGGTGACAGCCACACCTCCCGGCACAGCCCGCAGGGCCCTCCCGCACCTGTGTGCTGATCTCCTCGTCCCCAGCAGCAGTTGCTCACGCACCTGTGCTTCCCTGTGACGTGTTCATCCGCGTCAGCCCAGCTCCCTGCTGTTCACCTCGCCCACGGTCCTCGCTGTGAGGGGTCTGAGGGCCAGGCACCCCAGATCCCCTCATACACTCTCACTCTGCGCTGGGCTAGTGCTTCCCCTCCGTCACTCGATGGAAACCTGGACACCTGTGTTTAGTACACACCTGTGTTGTAGTACTTACTCCATTGAAACGTATTGCTCGCCTGTCTCGCCCTGCCCATCATCCCAGCCCCCAAGACTGGAGTTCTTAAAAGTAGGGATCGTGTAAAGCAAGCTCTGTGTTTTCTAAACGGCTGGCACTCCGAGGATAGATGATCCCGCTCTTGGCGCTCACGCGACACACAGTAGGTCGGCACGGCCGCAGCTGACGTTTGCTGGGGGTGAAGTACTGCAGAGCGGGGCGACCCTGGTCAGCCCGGCCCTCTGAGCTCTCTGCGTGGAAGGGACCAGGGGAGGGGACCAAGCGGCTTCCTCCCTTTGATGACGAGGACTGTAGACTCCTTGCCCTCGTCTTGCACGTTCGCTTTGTGTCAGTCGATATGTACTGAGGGAACTGAGATCATTCTTTTTACAGCTTTTTAAAAAAAACACGTTTGACAAACTAAATCTCTTGCTGAAAAGACCTAAAAATGACTTCTGAACTGTCTGTATTTGGGGTTTCCTTCCTCCTTTTCTTCCCTGCGAGAATGTTAAATAAACTTGACGACATTGTGTTTTTTATCAAAAGATCTTGCACTTACTGAATTTTTGCTTATGACCTCACAATGATTTTTCAAAGAACGTTTGTATCTTATTCCAAAGAGTTCCGTTACTGTTGTTTGTAGACACACAAACGGTGTCATGATTGGACACCTTGATTCCAATCTGTTTGATTCCCATTTTCTTCACTGGGTAGTTCACGTCACCCCTTGGGTCAGCCCGTATTCAGACTTCTCCTCTGGACCATAATGTGGCTTTGGTTATTTCGGAATTTGAGTTTGGAGTCGAGAATCACTTTTTATAATCCAATTCTGGTCTCTTGGATTTTGAATTGGGCGATTGTGAAAATCTTAGCTTGTGGAAGGTCTTTGAAGTTTGAAGTAGAATTTCAAAGCTGTGACTCATGAAACTTATTAAGATGGGTCGTTATATGTGTTTAAGATATTTCTGTACTAATTAAAGAAGCGGGTGGTAGCGTTACAAATTCAGGATGTATCGCTAGGAGCACATTGAGTGATGGATTTAAAATGCGAACATTTCCTACGTTCATTCTGCGTCAGGAAGTGGGGATGACTTCCGAGGGAAGAAGCTGCTCACTGAGGCTGTGCTGATGTTCTTTCTCTCGGGTGTACTTTCATACTGACTCTCCAGAAACACCCATTTAATGTGTTTGCAAAGGCAGCTTACAGTAGTCGGAGGAGTAAGCGTTTTGGAGCCAGAAATACCTGATTTCAAGATCAGCACCACCACTTACTCCTTTGTGCCCTCGGCGTAGTGTGAGAATTGTGAGATGGGGATCTTTATTCCTGTTGCTCCGGCCTCACGAGACTGTTAGAAGGTACATGAGAGGTGGACGGGAAACGTGAATTGTCGAGCACTGTACACATGTGCGTACATCTGTCTT